CCTTTCCTTCCTTACCTATCCCTTCTGAAAAGCTATACCCATCAATGGCAGCACTCCAGCTGTGTGATTCATGCCACCATGTTTCTGTGATAGCTACTACATCGTAGTAGGAAACAGTGCACACTTAATTTTGCCCTATGTTATAGTACTACTGAAAGTTTGAAGTGAAAAATTGTATGACATTGTCTAAACAAATCTAGTATTATTAATTTAAGTCTGTGCAACAGTATGTGACTAATGTTCACTGGCAAAACTAAATTCAACTAAAAAAATTTTGAGATCTGATGATGGCAATTAGGAATTCTACAGACAATGCAGCCTGCCCATTAACAGCCTACCCCTGCAGCATTTTCATGTTAAGAGTCTGTTATAGTCTTCCTAATAGCTAGAAATTTTGCCCATAATTAGTTTCTTTTTCCTCTATGTTAAATAAATCATAATGTTCTTGAAAACATTTTCGTAATCAAGCAGAGCTTATGTCTTTAGAGATCCTTGTTCAAACACGAGTGGGGATAAACATGAACACCATTGGGCATTGACTAATCAGTTAAGAATAACTTCCACCTCAGAAATCCAAGGCTGGAAATACACTGGGTTTATGCCATCTCAGCCCACAGCCAGGACTGAGCCAGAGCACGACATCTGGGAGGAATGGAATTAATCACTTTAGAGCAGGATCGCTGGGTTTTCAGCTCTGCAGTGGATGGGGCTGACTCGATCTAACCCTTATCTAACATGACATTGCCATTGTGATATAAATAGTGTCTTATTTGCCTGCTTCAGAGGAACAATGTTAGTCAAGAAAAGGTCAAATGGTTTTTCTACAGGGGAAAAAAAGAACAAAAATCTTTCATAATTTAATATTGCCCTTTTTTCTGGAAGATTGGAGAGTCCAGGTGCTAGTCACATAGGAAGGAGATGAATACAACTCGTATTTATCTAGTCTGCAGTAGCACAAAGCAATAATATTTCAATCATTTCTTAAGGCCCAGGAGGAACCAATATTCACCTGGCATCTCACTGATCTCACCTTTACTTGGAACCCTGCAAACTCCACAAAGTCTGCTCAAACCTGCCTACTTTGGCAATGCAAGAGTAAGTTATAGCTGCAGGCAAGTCTAGGACAGATGTACTTAACACACCTCTTAGTGAATGTGTATTTTCTTATTGCACAACACTTACTGCATTGAAGCTGTCAGTTAAAGTATTGATAAACATGACTTTTACCCATAGCTAGCTAAAGAGGAATAATGCTCAGTTTGAAGTCTTTGAATACATTACACAGCCTGCGGTTACTGCTACTGACCCTCAGATAAGCACTATAAGAATACTCACATGTAATTATCAAGGTTGCTTTCAAGCATTTTTCTTATCCTACAGAAAAGAAAGTAGCTCTGTGACAACATTTGCATGCAAGACAGGCTGGGCTGGGTACATTCATACACAGTTGAAGTAGAGAAATACATACAGCTGGGAAGTGAAATTTCTACAAATTGCTACATGAAGGTGACCTAAAGCCCGATTTATTGCTAGCTTTTATTGCTTGCTTTTATTGCTTCTAGCGCACTGGTAATCTATGCACATAGCAATACTTCAGTAGTAATGGAAATCAGTAAACAAGGTCACATGCGTGTCAAACAGTTGCTTTGCACATTCTAAAAATATTTGTAGGTCTTGTTTGATAGAACAGCATCGACCCTTGCCTGTGCCAACCGCGTTGCCTGTGCTGCTCACTGGGTATAGCCTGTGCCTACAGCTCATGGTATGCGAGGTGGCATACATCCTACTCAGTGGAAATAAAGGTAATTGCTAAACTTGTTATCAACCAAATTAGAAAGTGAAATAATTACAGCGAATTTCCCCTTGGGCCATCTTCTGCAGACTACAAAAGACTTCTCAGATACTCCAAACCAGCCCATCTTTCCTGGGAAATAAGACACATTGAAAAATAATTGTTTATCATTAAATGCAGTTATAGCATGTCAGGTGAGGGAGAAATGAAGTATCTGGCTGCACTGGAATCACGCGTTTGGTCCAGACCCTGTGATACACAGGCTGACAAGTCAGCTTACAGGTTATTTTTGCAAAACGTGTTTATGCAGTGACTTTAAGCCTTCAGGCTAAACATAACGTGGTACAAAGGGCTATGAGAAAGAACGCCCCAGGTCCACTCAGCTAGCCATCCTTTTCAGTCTAAATAAGAACAACCAAGATGTAGCAGCAAAGACAACAAAATGCATGTACCAACAGTAGTCTATACAATCTGTACAAACAGAATGAAAGGCTCCAGATATTATTCAAGCCTTAAAAGTAAAAGTAAAGCATCGCCTTGAGTCGTGAAGAGCAGAGGGATTTCTCTTTCTGTGCTGCTCTGTGAAGATGGAATGAATCTCACCAACCACCGAACGCAGCGTGACAACCTGAATCATGGGCAACACGAACAGACATCATGAGGGTGCACAATGCACTTAATGCAGAAAGTGCTTGCACTGAAGTATCATTGAAGGGAAATGCAGTGGAGGGAGCAGTGTTCAGCACTGTTCTGGCATTTTGAACTCAAACCAGACATTTCCATCCTCACAATAAAGAATTAAAAAAATATGAATAACAGGTTTTTCTTTGGACTTCTGAAAAGTTCTTGAAAATTCTGCGCATGCGAACCTTTAGGAAAACTGAAATTGAAATAAAGATAAGCTCGATGTTTATATAATAAAACAAAACCCAGAGCCAAAACTTCATAAAACCACGGAAATTTGATGGTTCTAACACTGTTCTTTGTCAAACACCACGCATTCAGGATTTGTATTTTCCAACTGCCATCTGGAATTCTGTTGTTTTTTTTTTACTTTAAATGCATAATGGAGCATTGTACCTTCATGTCCTCAGGCATTTTTGCTCATTTGTTTGTTTTTAAACAAGGAAAGCGTACAGATAATGACTGGTTATGATTACCAAGAAATACCTAAAGAAAATGAGTTTTTCAAAATGTTCCATCCAAATGCATTAGCAATTAGAATCTCCTCAAGTTTCCATTAGTCTGTCAAAATAAGAAATAATCTTATAGCAGCTCTGCCTAAAACTTAAAGATTGTCACATTGATTGAATTTCAAAGTATACACTTACAAATTCGTAGTCTCCATCCTGTGGTACTTTCCAATCAGATGAATTTTTTGTCTGACCAGACACATTCTTCCCAAAGCTATTGATTTGATTCTCCTTCTCCTTCTGCTCAAAATATTCAAGGAATGATGGTTTGGCTGGCTGCATTGTTTCATCCCTCCCTGGAAATATTAAAAATAAAAACCACAGTTGTTTTAAAAAATATATTTTCAGTTATAATACCTTACATTGTATCCAAAAGTGATTTTAATTTTTTACCATGCTCTAATCACAAAAGACTGCTAAAGTACTGCTGCTGCTGAAAAGCAGCTGGAGAAGGGAAGCTTAAAGCCCACCACACGAGTGATTACAATGCTGGAGGCCTTGGCCTCTCGACCTGCGGTCCGTCCATCACAGCACCCTATCAGGTAACAGCTTCATGCACTGAATGCTACAACTAAACCACTTACCAAGTAAAGAGGCTGGGTTTTTTTCACCCCAGCCAGGTAGAATATGGAAAGTTCCAAAACTAAACAGCATTGATTTACAAGCAGAAACTCATCTTTATATTTACAAATGGAACAGTACAGAAACAAGGCTTTCAAAGACCAAGTTACCATATAAATATCACATAACTTTCCTTGGGTAGAAGTAGTCAAGTTCTACGTTTCTTGGGTAGAAAGAAATAATTAGCTTGCAAAACTGCTTCTTTTTCTTTTCTAAACAGTCAGTTAGCAAGGTTTCAAGTTTACTGCCCTAGTTGTCTTTTTCTAAGTTAATTCCTTAGAACACATATTTAGTGGATTACTTGAATAAGCCAAACATACAGATTAACCATTTAATTCTAGATTGCATTTAAGAAACTTGTGGTAGTAAGAAATGGGCAAAGGTACAAAAAGAGACAGAGGAATCAAAATAATGCCCTAAATATAAATACTTTGATTTTTAATGGCAGGTCTCAGAAGCCTCCCAAGGACCACTCTCAGTAAGAGTTCACCCATCCTGATGGGAGAAGGTTATAGCTAAGAGCACCAAGCTTTAGCACAACTAGATTTACATGATTCATATTTGAATGCAGGGCCAGAAGTTCCCAAGTCAAAGCAGATCCCCAGTGCTGTTTGGAGAGAGGAGCTGGGCTCCAGCAACGGGGGCAGCTTCAGCTGGAGGGTGACAACGGCACAATAGGGAAGGAAGTGGTAAAAAGTTAAGAGGATGAAAATACGGATTCCTAGCACAGCATAAAAGCCAATACAGGAAGAACACACAAAATTTAACTTCACAGCAAGTAAAGACCAAGACTTTCACTATTTCCAAAGGAAGATTTCTTTACTAGCACAACCGGTACAGCATCAGATGCTGCTCAGGCTACTCGCACTTAAAACTGGCTTGGCCTCTGAGTTACCGTACAGTGAGTATCTTGTGAAGAGTCTCAATCGAAATGAGGAGGCAGACTTGCACAGAAAACACAATTTAACAGGGCTGCACCACAAGACTATGACAGCTGCAAACACAGCTAAAGACTGCTCGCAGCTTAATGCCATGGTGCTGCTTTTTATGATAAAATGCTTCACAAAAATCTGTGAGCATAATGGAAGTAAGCACTGTAACAAAACCTAGTAAAATGTTTTTGTTCTGATAAAGTATAGTTCTCTAGTAGCAAAGTGGAGTAGGTTAAAAATACTGGAAATGTATGCTTTGGGCAATGCAGAAACCATTATTTTCAGAAAGCAACATTAGGACTAGAGTTAATAGAAAAATAGCCTAATTCTGGACTGTGGAAATAAGTTCACTGTCAAATGCCATACATTTGAAATAAATATAATCTGTCAGACAGGCAATCAACTAAAAGATTAGAGCTTCAGACCAGCATACAGGGGACGGAGCCATCCTTTGAGGGGTTTATGGGGTCTGTGTAAGGCTGAGACTTTCCTTCAAGAATCTGTGCAAAAAGCCGGCTATCACAAGACAGTCCTCACTGAGGACATTTTGCAGGGCTTTCCTCTTCAGAAAGTATTAGCTGCTCTGAAAACCCATTAATAAATAATTGCTGAATATTATTCTTGCTCATAAAATTGCCATCCAGTGATCCAGATCTGCCATCTCTGTCAGATCCTCAGACAAGTGTACAAATTCCTTGCTCAGCTATGAGATACTTTAGGAAATTATTTGTCTATAGACATGTTAAACACAGAACAAATTTCCACAAAGTATGCGAAATCTTGGCAGGATATTTGGGTTGTGATACTGAGAGAAGTGTGGTTCTACACAGACTGAAATGTGACAATGCATTTAGAAAAAGCACTGCACCCGACTGCCTCTCCAGGGTCAGCTAAGAGCTCAGGCATGAACAGGAGTGCTTAGACTTTTGCACTATGACAGCTGGAGCAAAGACAAATTATTCTACCCTTGGCAGTAGCTCCCCTTTTTAAAAAACAAAGCAAACCAAAAACCTCATCATACAGAATTAGAGCAAGAAAGACACCTTCAGACAGGCTGCGTGAAGGTCAGTCAAGAAACACGTCTGTGAAGTGGAGAACAGATTTGCTGTTGGGAATAATTACTGAAATACAATAGCAATCCAATTACTGCTAAGTGATGAAACATTTATTTATAATGAAGTAAATACACCCCTTGTATCCTGCTGCAGTCCAGCCTGCCTGAAGCAGGAGGTAAGTTGTTATGGCCAATCATGGCAATGTTTAACACCAACAAATTTTATGAAAAAAGAGAAAATCATAACTACCTAGGCTAATCTAGACACAGCTTACTGACAGCCTTAGTCTCGGTAATTCAGGCTTCTTAAGAAGAAAAAAAATTTTAAAAAATCTAAACCAAGCTTGTACTGTATGTTTTGAAAACAAACATTTGCAGCACAGGAGACTTTGAAAGTGAACGTTCCACTCCAGTGACATTGGCTTATTCAATTCTTTTCTATTTAGTTTTGTTCTAAAAGAGACCATTTGCTCACACCAGAGCTTAATTCAGAGTCACTTAATATTTCCCCACATCCTGTATTTTATTAAGAACAGCAATATTTGTAAATGACTAATTACATCTACTGAACAACAACCTATTGTAGCATCACTTAATTATCAAAATACATATCCAAACCCAAGGTTTATTGCATAAAACTTCCGTTTTCATGCAGAAATGAAACAGACAAAGGAAGCAGCACATGAAGTGGCAGTGGTAGTTTATAATCCTGAAGAGTACAACTGGATTTTCAGCCCCACCAGTACAAGTGGCTGAAATGCAGCAGAAGGCTGACCAGGACAAAGGGGTCTCTTGCTGCTGCCTCCCACCCAACAGGCCCAGTCTCCCCAGCAAAAGGAGGGGAGGAACGGTCTGAACTGCAGCAAGGGCAGCACAGCTGAATGTAAGGAGGAAAGTTTTCACAATGGGGATAGTTGTGCAATGGAGCAGGGCTGGAGAGATTGTGCAAAGCCCTGAGCAACCGGACCTGACCTTGCACTTGGTCGCAGCCAGCTCACAGGGAACCAGACCGGCCACCTCCAGGGGTCCCTGCTCTGCCCAAGCCAAGCTTCTCTGCATCTCACACTGCTCACACCCGCTGTCAGCAGCCTCTAACCTTGCAGTCACCTCAGGCCTTTCAAATGTGTGCAAGAATCTACATTCAGCTTCAGCCACCGATTTTAGAACATTTCAACACATCAACATGTAACATTGCATCTTTGCGTAGTGGTTTAGTTTCTTTTTTTTTTTAACTGATTAAAATAGATTGCTAACTAACAAGGAATGGAAAAAAAAGACAATATAAAGTGAAAAATATCCAGAAGACAGATCCAAAGTGTCTGAAAATGTAATTGCTGCTTTAATCTCAGTGGGGGTGCGTATGCAGCAAGACTGACAGAAACGCTCCTGGAGACAGAAAGACATTACACCAAATCAATTACCATCCCAGCACAACTCGATTTCTTTTCATCAATCTTAGCACTTAACAGCAGTGTCATCTTTCCAAAGATGATCTGCTATTAATTCAACACAAGCATCACACCACTATATCTTTAAGATTTTGATAACAGGCAGCCGAAGACAAAAATCGATCACCGCTATTTGCAGAAGCAGATGCTGCTGAAAGATGACACCGCACAAAACGTGTCTGTGCCAAAAAGCATTTAACTTCCTAGTTTTATAGCGTTAGACGAAAATATGAACATTTGACAGAAAGTGAGATCACAAGCGTGGCAGAGAAGAGCCAAAGAGAAGAGAAGGTCACCCTGCAGTGACACGAAAGGCTTCACCATGCATTTATTTTGGAACCTAAAGAGTTGCTCATAAGGATGAGCTGCGAGAGCTCCTTGGAGCCATTAACAGTCTACCATTTAGAGATGCAGTCATCTTTTTAGGAGCTGTATTAATTACACAAATGGAACACCACCGCTCTGCTGGAGCCGCTCCAGCTGACTGCAGAATTGCAGGTTTGGGGTAGCTGTATCCATACAGGAGTGCTCGGGTTCAGCCTGCCGGCGGTGGAGAGCAGCAGCCCTCTGTGGAAAACTCGTAAGTGCTGCCAGGTGTGAAGTCACCTTTAGAAAAGTATAGGAACATCAGTAGTGCTGTGTGTGAGAACAGAGAAAGATGTGAAATTGGTGGGTCCAAAGATGCAGAATGCTATCAGTTGCGAGCAACAAATATTCCCTTGTACTTTGATTTTTTTTAAAGGAGTTTACTACTGATTTCAGTAACTGTGTTACCCCTTCAGCACTGGAAAGCAAAGTCTAACTGCCTGTGGTACCATGCAAGCTGGGGCAGTACTTACCCAGGCACAAATAGCCTGTACAAGCCAAATGACAGCTGATAGATACAACACTGCAAGACGCCAGCAAGGCCACAGCAGCCGCAGCCAGTGGCATCACATACTGGATCCTCTCCTCTGCTGTGCTACACAAACAGCAAGTTTTAAGGAAAAAACTAAACCAACAATGTGCTCCCTCTCTGAAAACGTCACCTGTCTGAATACTTGAGGGAATGGAAGAGGTCAGTCTTAGTGGCTGACTGCAGCAGGTGGACCTTCTTACACCCAGCAAAAGAGGAGAGAGAAGGTGTGAAGAGCCTTTGAGAAACTTCTACTTCCATATGATGCTGCAGAGAAAGGAGAATGATAAAGCAGAAACAGCACAGTCAATTAAACCAGCAAGAGATTTACTTTCTTTTCCAGCAG